ATTAGCTGTGGGAAACCTCTACCAGACCAACTGATATCATGTATACGGTGTATACGCTACTATGTCGGCATTCATTGTTATCCATATGACCCAAACTATTGAAGTTAATAGTGACTACTGTTATACATACTATTCATGGTAAAGTCAATAGTAACCCGGTATCTGTATGGACTTCAGCTGAAAGTTTGTTGGCATGACTATTTGATGACAGAACGGTGATTTAGCCTTGTAGCCACCTGGCCACTCGCGCCTCATTATACTAATAACGCAAACTATATTTATAAGGATTATTTTGTGCAGGGTATGCTTTAGCTCACATCCAACAATATAAAAAATATCCAAACGTATAATGACAAAGGGGCGGTGGGGTAGCCTAGTGGTTAAAACATTCGCTCGTCACGCCGAAGACCCGGGTTCGAATCCCTACATAGGTACGATGTGTGAAGCCCATTTCTGGTGTCCCCCGCCGTGATGTTGCTGGAATATTGCTAAAAGCGGCGTAAACCAAACTCAGTCAGTCAGTACAATGACAAAAGATAGTCACTGCAATGGAACTATCACGATACATTCTGGGTTGAAATACTGTATGCCATCATATTGATGTACTTACCCATTTTTGTTGAGGCCAGACGACGTGGTTTGGAGTACGAAGAAGACAAGTAATCTCACAGCACATGTTGACATTTTAAACACTTATTATAAGGCTGGCTTAACCATATCACCTACTGCAATCCTGAATTTCGTCTGGACAGTCCACTAATCCATTAAGATCACCGATCCCACCTGAGAGAAAAACTTGTTCTGCCTTCAACATATACAAGCTCATAGTCAATAGGTAAGTGTCGCAACCCCCCAATGATCACACACACACCCAAACCGGCATACCAGGAAGTGATATTAAAACGGACTTTGTCATGGAAACAGCTAAGTTTCTTGTTCCTTTCAAGATGACAGGAAAAGCACCCATGTACGAATTTACGTTACAGACGTTAACCCTCTTGGTGATAGAGAGATTAAGCCACGCCTGGAAGGGGAACTTAACGCCTGTTATAAGTGCGTGTATGTTGCACAATGTGTTATCCAAATACTGATTAACTGCGTGAGCTCCTTGTTGTTTCGTGTGGTAACGATATTGGGAAGTCTAAAATAAGGTTTTTAACATGATGTCATGAAGATAATTTTCTCAGTGAGTTTGAACATGGAACAGTGAAATATGTCAAGGTGTATGTCAATGGATATGAACACGTAAAAGAGTGTATATTTCCGCATATGGCACAGTCTTATGTGTATCTTATAAAGGAGCGTGGTCTTTATTTTAACTCTAACCTATTACATGAAAGTGATAATTCTTGAACAATTATTAGGAATTCAGTTTACAAAACTTATACTGTTTCACAAGCAAAGTATTACTAATTTATGTGTTTTTAATCTGATGATACATGGAATATGTGTGCAACTAACGTACTTATTCCATTAGCTCCATGAGATTCCTTTTATTCTGTATAACTGCTGATTGTTACAAGCAAAATATATGAATTGATTGGTTCGATTAGGTGAATTGGGACGGCGGTGTTTATAATGTCAATCCCTGGGCGGTTTGCTACAAATTCGATCATTCACAGACTGTGCAAAGTGTAACACGCATATTATAATTGTAGCGAAGAACAATAAACTTGATATAACCTTTATAATTAACATTATTATCCATTGTGTAATTGTATACATTAAACAATGTGACATATTTCAGGGGTTGTTTCATGCGACTCTGTGCAGGGTATAGCACACATATGTAAACTAACAACTTTCTATCGCATTGGGAGAGCCGGATGATAAAGAGTTAAACAACTTCACAAATCTGACACACATCCAAGGACCTATTCAACCTATTCACAGTAGCTATTCAGACCAAGTGTCCCATAGAATCGAGTCAGATTTGCGATCGAATTGTATACGGACAATCTGGAAAGTTAGTACACGTCTCAGTAAAGTGTGCTCGAATGCGTCATTCAGAAAACGACATCCGCGCAATAGAGTATGAATAACGTCTCTGGAAATCGCTACCAGTCAGCCTTGGCCTGACTTTGAATAGACACACAGTAGTTCAGGGTGGAGTGTAAACTTACAACGTATAATTCGCCCACAATATGAATCGTGATCCTTACCTAACCACAAAGTTAAAATGCAATGAACCTTGTGCTTGTTGGTATCGCCACAGTTGCCAACATCGACTATGTGACTAATGCCTATATGTGGCTCCTGTGTCTGGTATATCTGGATATTACTAATGATAGCGTGGAATTAAACTGTCTAGTGTCTAGTACATGTTGTACTCGCGGATTACATGTAATTCCGTAGGATGAATTGTTCATATGCATATTTAACACTAAAGGTCTTGCATATCGGTGTTACTTCATTACTCCCTTTATTACCTACTTTACAATATTCATTACTTTATATGTATTAGATATTAAGATATATACATTTGACTGTTTTTCATACAAATCAAATGTTTTCAGAAATATAACTGTAACATGTAATACCGGAATAACGATAAACTACAAGAAACACCTGAGTACAGATAATGGAGCGTGCAACACCCATATACGTGCTAAACACACATGCTTGTAAATTCCGGCACAACACAAGGCAGAGGCAGTGATCGTCAATACGTAATTTGATACCTTCCTGTATATCCCGCGGTCATATAATAATGCATACGTTGCTACAAGAAGAATTATAATTTAGTTTATACTGATTCGTTGGAAGAGTATACACTGATCAACAGCAGATATAATAACAAACGCGTCATCGAACCGGTTCTGCTGTGGACTCAAGTGTTATCTCCCTTTGTCCCGCCACTAGCTGGTTAATAACACCCTCCTGGTCTGGCTCTTAACATACCCTAGGCCTGTCTAAGGAAAAGGAACAAAGTTCCAGTGCTTGTACGCATGTATTTTTATCATAAGAATCGAATTTCGTTCCGGTACATTTTGAACACAGTTTCCATTACAAATGTTCAACAATGCCTCTTTACAAAACATTTTGGTAAAACGGCGAGCTGGTAAATGTGAAAATGAACATGATGTCATAATAGTAAGGCAGTATAATGAATACAGTGCGTTGAAGTGAGGTTTGTAAACCAATGATGACATACACAAAGAACATATTTAAGCACCGCATGACATATCACACGATTGAATAAGCCCCGATCTTAACCCTTTCGAGCATATCTGGGGTGGAATGCTCGTCGTGTGCAGCAAAGGGATCCTCCTATACCGAACCTGGCCCATTTGGAAGCTGCTTTACACGAGGAATGGCGTAGACTGTCCCTTCAGAGGATCAGGAGGCTGGCAGGGGTATGAGGAGGAGTGTGCTGGCTGTCATACAGTCACATGGAGGATACACTCGGCCTTGACCTTAAATCGTGTATGACACGTAAAATGACATTTTGAATGTTCACATACACCAGTAAAACTCAACATTAAACATTCTAGGGCCATACTTGTACAGACATGGTTTTGTATGAAAATCAGTGTGTGTGTGTTTTTAAATGAGCAATTATCATCATAAAATCAATATGGATTCCTATCATTTTGTCGTTTTTGATGAGTCAAATTATCATACGGATCTGAAAAACTCAGAATTTTCCATCGTGGTCACCACGAGACGTTTTATGTACGTGTTGAAAACCTATCATTGCAAACATACAGCGGATGCTTAATTAAGTTCTTTGTACATAATTGTATGATGTCAGACAAGTAATCAGGAGCACCTTACAACCAGTAGTCAAGTATGTCAGTTGCTGCTATGACCGCCAACAGTCGTGAGGGACTATAAGGTTAAGACAGGGAATTTCTAAGTTTACGTTACTGCATGTGTATCTCCCAATGGCGAGTTGAGGGATTCTGTTCAGTCCGTTTAAATGTTATAACGGTGTTACATCCTGCAAAGCTTTCACGACAAAAACCAAAACAAATCTGGCAAATACTGTTTGTTCTGAGCTCTGTATGGTACAGGGGTACATCGGGTGGATCCGTCCAGACGCAGCAAGTCCCTATTGAGAGGTGCGTCGTTTCGATATGCGATACACCTTTGATCGCTCGTTCGAATCCCTGTTCGCTCAGATTGTGTGAGGGAAGTTTTCTTTTTACGCCGTTTTTAGCAATATTCCAGCAATATCACTGCGGGAGACACCAGAAATGGGCTTCACACATTGTACCCATGTTGGGTTCTTCAGCGTGTTGAGCGAACGCATGAACCACCAGGCTACCCCGCCGCCGCTCAGATTGTGTTTCTTGATTTGACAGCATCATACCCCTATACGCTATACGTTTTTCACGTTTGAGATGTGCATCACCCATCATACATTATCACGTTATTTCACGTTTGAGATGTGCATCACCCCTATACGTTATTTCACGTTTGAGATGTGCATCACTCGTACACGAGGTTTCACGTTTGAGATGTGCATCACCCATACACAAGGTTTCACGTTTGAGATGTGCATCACCCATACACGAGGTTTCACGTTTGAGATGTGCATCACCCGTACACGAGGTTTCACGTTTGAGATGTGCTTCACCCCTATACGCGATTTCACGTTTGAGATGTGAATCACCCCTACACGAGATTTCAAGTTTGAGATGTGCATCACCCCTACACGAGGTTTCACGTTTGAGATGTGCATCACCCCTACACGAAGTTTCACGTTTGAGATGTGCATCACCCCTACAAGAGGTTTCACGTTTGAGGTGTGCATGTGAGATATTTTCCTCCCGTATATCCGTGTTTTATACTGTTGAACGTTGCGTTAAACCCAAATTACACACTCAAAGGTCATTTTTTCTATAAAACGGCGACTTTTAATATTTACGATTAGGACCCCATGAACCAGCGGTGCACTATGCATTGTAAGGACCCGCTTGCGATGAAGCTTTTCATGCTTGAAACTACAAAGAACGCATGCCACGTGCATCAAAAGAACATTCACAAAACACAAATGAAGCTACACAAAGTTCGCGTTTATTTTTCAGATAGCTTCCACAAGTAAGAAATGAAAGAGTGTGACAGTAGGGTTCTGTCAAGAAGGAGAATATTCTAAAAACTTTCCATATTCAGGAGGATCCTTGGTTCAATCACTTCAGGAGAATGGGAGTTACTCGGGTATTCCCCTCCTGCAATCCTGTTATTTAGTATACTAATCGATACAATCATATTTCTTTCCTTGACATCCACAAGTACAAGGATGTTTGTGTGTGTTTGTTTTATAGGTTACGTTCAGTTATGGTGGATACTTATATTGAACGTATATGTGAATAGGATGGATAAAAAATGTAAATACCAAGGTTATAAGAAAATACAAAAATCACGCCATGTAAGTATAGAAAAAATATGTATAACATTCACGCTTCATGTCCCCTGTTGCATGTCAGTATGCCGCTCGGTTTGCATCCATGAAAAGGCGAATACCTTTCTCATGAGAGAGCATCCATGAAAAGGCGAATACCTTTCTCATGAGAGACATGTTGCGTGTGCATTTGCATTGCACAAAATGAGTAATGTGTTCGTAAAAGTATAGTTTGTGTTATTCTATGAATTACTATTCAGATTGAATAATTGTATAATATATCATAATTGAAGAGAATGAAAATCGGTGCACCATGCTGGTTTTAAATTTTACCATAATATAGGAAACACGAATCAAGTGCACTTAGTTCAAGCTTACTGTTTGTGTGGACCAGGACGACAGACCACACGTGCCAATAGCGTTTAGAGTAACATAAATCTCATCAAATCCGCGATATTGCGAATTTAAAGTCAGAGTGATTTCATCGTTCTCTGTTAACAGCTTGTCTACAATATCGGCGCCTCCGAGAACTGTTCCGACGTGAACTTCATACTTCAGGTCGTCCCAGGGAGAAGCAAACAAATTCCGCCAGGCGACGGTCAGTCGGTCGCCAGTTTTGACCACAGACAAACGGTCAGAAGCTGTGGGAAGATGTTAAACACGTGAATATTGTGTATATTTTTTACGAAAACGGACGGAATGTGATAATCCATAATTTTAGATAGTGTGACTTATTTTATCACGGCAATATTGAGCAATATAATGTAAGATATCTAGTATTGACAGGCATTTGTTTGGCACGACTAAGCTGTTTTACAGCACAAACCACACACCTGTTATCGCTGGAGGAAGGCCATGCACCGTGAAGTTCAACATAGTTGTCTCTCCGTGTGTTCCCATCCCGTCAATAGGAAAACTGAGGGCATGATATGTTGATCCATCCTTCAGTGTTACACCCACTAATGTGGCCAAGGTGTACTCCAGATGGACGGGGACGACATTCTGCTGTGTCAGCGTATCTCCCTCAATACCAATCTGAAACACCAGCAACTGCTGTAAGTACTGGTTTACTGTAGCTAGTGCTCCAAGTACTGTTTTACTATAGCAACTATTCCATGTACTGTTTTACTATAGCAACTACTCCATGTACTGTTTTACTATAGCAACTACTCCATGTACTGTTTTACTATAGCAACTACTCCATGTACTGTTTTACTATAACTACTCCATGTACTGTTTTACTATAGCAACTACTCCAAGTGCAATTGTTTTACTATAGCAACTTCTCCATGAACTGTTTTACTATAGCAACTTACTCCATGTACTGTTTTACTATAGCAACTACTCCATGTACTGTTTTACTATAGCAACTACTCCATGTACTGTTTTTTAGCTGGTATCCATGCAACTACTCCATGTACTGTTTTACTATAGCAACTACTCCATGTACTGTTTTACTATAGCAACTACTCCATGTACTGTTTTACTATAGCAACTACTCCATGTACTGTTTTACTATAGCAACTACTCCATGTACTGTTTTACTATAACTACTCCATGTACTGTTTTACTGTAGCTACATTCCATGTACTGTTTTACTATAGCAACTACTCCATGTACTGTTTTACTATAGCTACTGCTCCATGTACTGTTTTACTATAGCAACTACTATGTAATTGTTTTACTATAGCAACTACTCCATGTACTGTTTTTACTATAGCAACTACTCCATGTACTGTTTTACTATAGCAACTACTCCATGTACTGTTTTTTGTTTTACTATAGCAACTACTCCATGTACTGTTTTACTATAGCAACTACTCCAAGTACTGTTTTACTATAGCAACTACTCCATGTACTGTTTTACTATAGCAACTACTCCATGTACTGTTTTACTATAGCAACTACTCCATGTACTGTTTTACTATAGCAACTACTCCATGTACTGTTTTACTATAGCAACTACTCCATGTACTGTTTTACTATAGCAACTACTCCATGTACTGTTTTACTATAGCAACTACTCCATGTACTGTTTTACTATAGCAACTACTCCATGTACTGTTTTACTATAGCAACTACTCCATGTACTGTTTTACTATAGCAACTACTCCAAGTACTGTTTTACTATAGCAACTACTCCATGTACTGTTTTACTATAGCAACTACTCCATGTACTGTTTTACTATAGCAACTACTCCATGTACTGTTTTACTATAGCAACTACTTCTCCATGTACTGTTTTTTTACTATAGCAACTACTCCATGTACTGTTTTACTATAGCAACTACTCCATGTACTGTTTTACTATAGCAACTACTCCACTGTTTTACTATAGCAACTCCATGTACTGTTTTACTATAGCAACTACTCCAAGTACTGTTTTACTATAGCAACTACTATCCTCAAGTACTGTTTTACTATAGCAACTACTCCAAGTACTGTTTTACTATAGCAACTTCTCCATGTACTGTTTTACTATAGCAACTACTCCATGAACTGTTTTACTATAGCAACTACTCCATGTAACTGTTTTACTATAGCAACTACTCCAGTACTGTTTTACTATAGCAACTACTCCATGTACTGTTTTACTATAGCAACTACTCCATGTACTGTTTTACTATAGCAACTACTCCAAGTACTGTTTTACTATAGCAACTACTCCATGTACTGTTTTACTATAGCAACTACTCCATGTACTGTTTTACTATAGCAACTACTCCATGTACTGTTTTACTATAGCAACTACCTACTGTTTTACTATAGTTCTCCTGTTTTACTCCATAGCAGCTACTCCAAGTACTGGTTTACTGTAGCAACTACTCCATGTACTGTTTTACTGTAGCAACTACTCCAAGTACTGTTTTACTATAGCAACTACTCCATGTACTGTTTTACTGTAGCAACTACTCTCAAGATTATGACATTTATCAACTACAAACGTATAAAGCTGCAATGATTGATGGTTTACGTTCCGTGTTTTCTGATTTTCTGAAGATATTCAGTTTACCACTGTTTTGAAATGTCGGCTGGTTTTGTCCCATCGGAGTCGGACTTTCTCCTGACTCTGGTGACACATATCCCTCTCACTGTACACCGACTGACTTTCTCTCAGGACACTGAAGCCAGGAACTGATGTCTGGTTCCTTGTCTGGACCACTTCAACTCCATCCGACGTCATGGCCGCCGCCAGCCCCGCCTTGTTGAAGCACCGGACTGTGGTGTAGACTGTCACAGATGACGAGTGGATCTTGGAGGCGATGTCATGTTGGGCTGTGGACTGACCTGGGGGGATCCTCTCAAACTGTTTCATGTCGCTGCTGCCTCGTGTCCTCCCTTGTCATTGAACAAGATACTAGTACATGGCGTACGTACAAGAAATGGTTAAAGATGTTTGTATATATATGAATACATTAGGACTATGTTTAAATACTGTGACGCCAAACTCGCTACACGTGGAACTGTTTCCATCTACATTCCATATAAATCTCAAACAATGTCCATTTACTACAGTAGTGAAGACACGCTTCATCCATAAAATTTAATTATACCGTATTGTTAAGTCTGGATTCCTGATTACACATATGTCAACCAAATATTTTATCATTTGTGGCTTGCAAATGTCAGGAATTCCCTGAAATATATTTCATATTGAACATTCATATTGTATTGATTAATTTAAGGATTGCCTGAATTTGTGTCTGACATAAGATGTTTACTCTTTGAAAGTTACCACGAAGTGCACGTCTTGTTGCCATGGATCTTTCATTCCAGCGACTTTATGTTAAACAACACAGAAAATGCTAGCGTTTAATATTGTTGGCAATGAAGTATTCCACGTACCAATAGCCCAGTCGCAGTGTTCTACACCTGATTCTTCATCTCTGACTTGCCAGTAGACACTCACCACACCTGATGTCTGATAGTCTTCATCTCGTCCTGGAACAAACGTAAACACTCAATCTGTGGCAATGAAGCAGCTAAATTACCACGTTACGAAGAACTCTTCAATTATTGCATTTGATGTAATATTAATCCATCAAGAGTTGTAGACCTGCACTTAGTTTTTATTCATCTGACATATATATAAATTTCAAGTTTACCATCCAGACCATCACTGATGAGGTCGAACTGTGGTGCAGTCATGTCTACTGTGATGGCGTCAGAGTATGTCACAGCTGTCAGCCCAGCAGCATTCGTCGCCATGACAGTAATATAAACAGTGGCGCCATGGAGCAGTTGCACATTAGACAGTGTTCCCTGTGTGGCTCGACCTAGGTCCGTGTAGCCCTGGACATGTGTACCACCTGGAGTTGTGCCTGGAACACAAGGACCTTTTGATTATACGAACGCACAGAGTATGATATGATAAGTAACTTATACACGGACTAACATATTTCAGGAACGAATAAGGGACCACCTGAGTACGAGTGTTCCTTTATTCTTTCCAGGTTTCTTCACATGATTTGTGTTGTACTGTAGGTGAAATTCTGAAAAGAATAAAGTAACACTTGTACTTTCAAGTGTTCCTTTATTCGTTTCAATGAGTATATATATCCTCATTGCGATAACGGTACACTGAAACAATGATGTGTTGATGAGCTCCTGAAAGATTAGAAAGAACTGTCTACATTAGCGAGTGAGTGAGTGAGTGAGGAGTGTGTGATGGTACGCTGATTTTAGCAACATTCTAGCAATATCACGGCGGAGGACACTATAAATGTATTTTACACATTGTACCCAACGACGTGAACCAAAGCCGGGAATCTATTTTGTCACAATTTCAGATCTGGTCCTATGTCAGAGATTATGCTTTCCTCCCCATCCCCAGTGATAGTCGTTGAAACAAATACGCAATATTCAAGTTAACATATTATTCTTGGATCTATAATATCGAACATTTACCATCTCACTAAACTACACAGTGTTGCATTTTACTAATTCAGAAAAGTCAGTTGACGTAATGACAATAAATCTAGTTACCAATCGCCCATGTGTACTGTGTAATTGGAGATTGTAGGTCCTCGAAGTGCCAGGAAACATGTAGAGATGACCAGTGTGACAGGAACACAGAGTGGACCACCAGATGCCCTCGGTGTCCACACTGTCCTGACCAGCAACATAGTCCACAGTCTGACACTTACATGGTCTAGTGCAAACTCCATCATCCTGGACGATGACGTTATCTTCAGCACTAGACTGGTATCTACGGCTGTGAACCTGTATGTGTGCTTGTTCCACAGGACGACTCGGAGTGATCTCCGACAGTGCAGGTGCCTCTACAGAGGTTAGGGTCCAGGGTAAAGCTGAAGACTTCACTTCCTATTGTAACTATTGCATCAACTGATCTGTGGGTGTTGGAAACAGTCTCTGGTATCCAGCATGCAGAGTCAGCTTGTACTGCCTCCCAACCTCAAGACCTGAGATCATTTGTTGATGCTTCCAATTACGGACACAAACTATGTCCATCTTTAGCTAGCAGGTGAATCCGGCGCCTGAACCTTGATACAGGACGCTATGTCAGTTTCCCATGATGTTGGTATGACGAGGTTGCATTTCGTGGTAGTACCAATTATATCGTCTCCCTCTAAAGATGGGTTCTTAACCAGATTGTCTCCAAGATATGCTACATCCTGACGTTCAGGTGGAGATGCATCAACAACGACTCCATCAGAAACAACAACATCTGAGGTGTAACCAACAGCATCCACAGCATACACCTTGCTCCATATTCTTGTACCTGAACACAAGACAATGTGATCATGTGATAGGTATATACGTATTATCCCATATCTAACATAAGTGGCACTAACATAATGTAAAGGTTCTATATTCACTGACCATTTACGATTGGAGACAACAGCGACCTCCTAGAAGATGTGTGTAGTCCTATATCCAACCAGTCCAACACACTGCAATCTGATGTGTCGTTGCTTGTCCCCACACACCAAAAAATACTTTGATTATTGTGGAGTCTCCAGTCCGAGAAGCCGTACCAGGAGTATGGATGCTTCGGATGTTGAACTCTGGTAGTCCAAGTCATGGATGCCTGCATCAATATTCAACAGTATGAAAACATGCATAAAAGTTTAGTATACTGTATATATCATACCTCTGTTAATACCATATTAAGAGAGACGAAATGATCTACAATATTACGAACCACGTCCATCCTTCACTCTGCCTGCCACTGGAGGCATGACGTCCACCTGTACTCCATCAGAATAGGCCCAGCTGACCAGACCAGCCTTGTTGTGTTGCCAGGACACTGCAGTAGTAGACGGTGTTTGGAAGTAAAATTAGACCTGTCGCTGTATAGCTGGCGGAGGTCAGCTTCTCTGATTTGTGGATACTCGTGACCTGCATCCGAATTGAAAGTTACACGATGGTCTGTTTAAATAGGTGATTGCAATTAAATGTCATTTGGAAAATTTAGTCAAGAATGGGGTCCTCAAAATTCGACAGTTATACGATTGTCTGTTGAATTAGTGAATTGCAATTAGACGAAATTCGTCAAATTCAGTATTCAAAATACCTCCTGCACAGTGCTGATAAAGACCCTGTATCTGGAGGATGCCGCTCTGACCCTGAAGGAACTTTCCACTCCACTGCACAAACAGAGTTTCGTTCCTGTGTCTGAAAGTCTGTATCTTTGGTGTCAGTTGGTGTGCAAGCTCTTTCACCTGTGGTAACACAGCAGCGCTAAGTCACTCCATCTAAACACATTCACCTTCTACAACACTGAAACCAACAGCAGCTCTGTAAAGACATATGAACAATCTAATAGCAGATACTTACAGCTTGGCCCATCTTGACTGTTACTGTGGGTGGTGCCGTTTGATGAGGACGCCATCCGATTTGAAGATGCTGCTGGTTTTGTTATACCACGCTCCTCACAAAAAGTAATAGTTCACTCCAGATATCAGAGACTTGCCTGCAAATCATCATGACACGTATAACAGCCTGTTTACGCATATTGAGATTGTTGAAGTGCTATGTCGATTAGTGATTGAATTGATACCAACTGATTAAAGCTTCAATATGAGCATGTTTCTGTCGTGCGAAGTTGTGTACAAGTATGATTCACTCTCACCTGCAGGTAATGAGACAACAGCAGATGTTTGTAGACCTGCATCAAACCAAATCCTGTCGGCCGTGGCGTCAAACACCCCCATTGGCTCATCACTCTCCTCCGCCCATACTGTATTCATATCTGTTCCAAAGGACAAATGTTACAGACAACAAATAACAAATAACACGTGTCAGGATGCATCTGTGAACTCATGTAAATGTTACAAAGTATGCATAGTGCGTATAGAACGGCTGCTTACCGTGAAACAGATGATCCCCCTGACGAGTCAGTCCAAGCGGCAGCCATGACGGTGTTGAAGAGACTGACGTCGACGTCATTAGAACCACCCTGGAGACATGACGTCCACCACGTCTTTGATTGTGATATTTTGATCTGCTCCATCAAGATGCAAAGGGTTGAAGTTTTCGTTAGAAAACTTGAAATGAGGGTTTCTAGCAGCTTAATCCTTCCTGCTCTGTTAACCTTGTTGTGAGTTTATGTACTGGCCATAAAATGCAAGACACGTGTAAGAGATCTATAGCTACGAAAATGACTGAAAATGTGATATTAGGTCCTAATCCTTGTTCTGTTTGGTTTCCCGTTACTCCACAAACCTGTTTTGTCTTGTGCACATGCTTTACTGGCAGAACAGGTACCGCCCTGCACTGCACAGACACAATGTCCCTCACAGTTGTAGGCCTGGCACCTCCTCACCAGCCACAGAGTAGAGTCTGCCTTCAGGACCAGTTCAGCGTGGTAGGCATCACTCTGTAGTCCAACCTAGAAGTAGAATTGGATACAATCATGCTTTGAGTATAGATAACTTCAGTTTAAAAAGTTTAAGGACAGTGCCAAAGAACCTACCCCATTCACACCCCAAATAGCTACAAACACAGATCCTGTTGATGACGGCAGGGCACGACTGTGTACCAGAAACGCTGCAGGACTCCTTCATCACCTTTGTTAACACCCGAGTCACTATGGAAGACCTTCTCCGGTAGTGTACCCTGCAATAAATAAATGTGTGTGTATGTTCAAGTTGATCAGTATTTCCTACTTGCACATTTACACCGTGTAAAATTGCACGTAGAATGAGTGAGTTTAATTTAACGCTGCACTCCGCAATGCTTCAGCTGTATGGCGGTCACGTATAAGCAACTCTTATTTCTGTATATGAGTTATGCGATCTTTTTTGTCTCTTACAATCATCTCACCGTATTGTAATCTGTTCCGAATTCATGAGATCCTATTGTTACAAGGTAATGGTCCACCCCTGAATGTAGGTCAGAGAAGCCAAGCCACGCCAGGTTCAGTCTGGTCCTGGTCCAAGTCATCCAGCCAGTCGGATGTCTTGGTAAGTTTCACTGCATGGTCGGTTTCTATGGCGAACGTACCTGCAAATTAAATATTATTTCATCATCATCATTGTCATCGGATTTCTAATAAGAGTAAAATTACCGTTCCGCAATCTGTTCCGTTGGAGCACAACAAAATCATACCTGTATTTGGTTTAGAGCTGTCAACTAAAATGTTGTTTGTATGTGCCGATACACAGAGACCCGCCATATTGCACGCGGTAACCTTCACCTTGTATTTACTTCCATCATGCAAGTCAAGGTTCACAAAAGTGTATTCTCGAAGTAAACCAGGAACCTGGAATACAACATACATGGATGAATAGATGAACGTTCAGTATTTCTATTGTACTGACAATATTTCGTGGTCACTCTTCAGCTTGAGGAGTGAGTTTAGTTTAACGCCACACTCTGCAATATTCCAGCTATATGGCGGCGGTCTGTAAATAATCGAGTCTCGACCAGACAATCCGGTGATCAACAGAATGAGCATCGATCTACGGAATTGGGAAACGAAGACATGTGCCAACCAAGTCAGCGAGACCCACCCGATCCCGTTAGTCGCATACGATTAGTACCGTTGCGATAAATATGGGCTGCTGGAGACCAATTCTAACTGAATGCCAAATATACTGTGTTTTATCTATATAAGACAACCTTTACTCCCTCAAGATTAGAACTATCTATCTCTCCAAGCTGGTGAGATGATAACGAGAGGTACTGGCGTTCTATAGCGGACTCAACGTCTTGGAATTCCCAGTGTAGACTCAGAGCTGTCCGACTGACTGGTAGTGTTGGGGAACAAGGGACATTAAACTTCTCACTGTCGGAAGTGTAAACCACAATGGGAACGCTGTCATCCACCAGTACCCCCATTAGACATGGCCTCTGAATAAAGCCCTGAAACATGATGCAGTGTTTGTCACGATTTTGACTACCTCTTACATCTACAAGTCGACTGTTCTCGTCAACCGTCTGCAACATACCTGCTTTGTTGAATGCCCGGATAGTGTTGTACAACGTCCGTCGTACGGGCAACTGTTGGTCATGTGACAGGGTGTGGAAGATGACCTCACCCAAGGCTGCAGTGCGGGCTGAGAGAATGTTGTCAGCTCCTGGTTTTGTTCCGACACGCCATTCATAGTAATCTAATCCTGATTCAGGGTCGCTGAAGCCTCGCCACTTGCAACCGATGAATGTCCTGTGAAACATACCAACTCTGTAAACACTGCATAGTTCCAAAGTAATTTAATGATATTTCCGTCGAGATAGAACTGCTTCTACTTAATAATCATTCTACGAAATACCCATTGTAATACCAAATACTCCTTATCACCTCGTCGCCTGGAACTGTATGTCCATGTCGCCTGTACCATCCTGCACTGTTCCAGGAACTGGTGGGAGCTGTCCAGGATCACACCGTCTGAGGTTGAGGAGGAGCTGCTGTGCAGAGGCCTGCTGTGTTACAGGCTGTCACTGTGGTGAAGTACTTCACTCCTGGGGAGAGCATGATGTGCTGTGTAGGCTGATATCTGAAATTGTATTGTATCGATATGTTTTTCTTGACATTATTTTAAAAAGCACAGTCGAGAAAGCAAAATGTGGAACAATCTCACATTGATGTAGCCCTGTCTTGGCTTCTTTCATTTTGTCGTCACATCCTGCGCAGGTTCCGACCTTGACCTTGTAAATGGCGACACTTGAATGAGGATCGTCGAAGCCTTCCCAGTAGGCTGCCATCTCTCGGAGACACTGGTGATATAGTCCTTGTCTTTTGTCATCATGTGAGGCAGCTGACTGTACTCCGTCATAGACGTGGCCAGAAGATGGAGGCGTGGTGTCCACAACCAGAGGTCGTGAAGTATGACAGTGTGTACAGACCTGCACCGTTGATGGCCTGGAAGAAGGACATCAATAAGATTGCCCCGACATAAGTTGGGACTTCAGACCGTTCTTCTTATTTATTTAGCAAAACAAGGTTATATTATTATTTGAATCTTTAAATCAAAGACGATTGGTTCGTTTAACTGAGATAGACTAGACTCCTACAACCCAGCTACCTCAACGATCGAGATCTACGAATAAACGAACACTCGGGGATCATTTTGTGTCATGATTATTTGTACACATGAAAGAAAAGAAGATAGAAACGTCCAAAGCTACCTTCACAGTTATATAATAAGAGTGACCATCCTCTGTTTTATTAAGTGTGTCAATGTCCAAACAATCCTCAACGGTCATCATGTACTCTGACACATCAGTATACGCAAGTCTGGTGCCCATAGCAACGCTGTATGACTTTATTCCACTTTCCTCGTCTGAGAAAACGTTCCTCCAGCTGTGGAATATATCAACATTGTTGATGTTCCAGTGTAGAATATTACTCCATCAACATTTGCCTAGAACAGGACATGAAAATCAGAAAGGTCGTGTGACTTCTTCAGTGTATGTTTTGTCCACAACTAAAGTAAATATTGAAACCTAAATATTTTGATAATTAATGTGTGAGGATATATTACAAGTATACCTAGCACACAAAGTTTATTATTCTGTATTGTACATTTGTGAATGTTACCCATATAAAACAATTAGTTAAAGAATTCAACACATAAGAATAATAATACAATCAACAGAAAAAGAAATCAGTGTTAATAGGTCGAGCAAGTTTGGCAGCTATATATGAATATTTAACGTTAATCCGACCAGAACTGGACATGTCAGCTTCAATAAGAAAGTCAGTACGTTATCTACAGATGCAGAGTTGTGGAAAATTGCTGCAGTTGTACAGTAATCTCTAGTTCTCGACTAAGTTTGTGTTTAGAATTGAAAACATGTCTTGTAACAAGAACAAATGCAGCCTATGTATTTATTGACTCAACAAGGTCGGGAAAAATATTATGAAATGTATTTTCGTATAGAATGCTAATTTTGTTCGAGAACCCAACATATTAGCATCAACCTGGCCCTTTTTCCTTCAAAGGTTTCTCTGAAAACATCTGTACGAGCTCACATGCCACTTTCTCAACGTTACCAGACATGTATAAGACGAGATGTAATGTATCGTCCCTCCACGTCAATGTGTTGCCCTGTTGGTACTGGAGGTGTGGCGTCGACAAGGGAAACCCCTGATACAGCAACTGTTGTCTTCTTCACAAAATCTGTGGCTGAAAGAAATATTATTAAGAGATAAGACATTGCTTAAGAACTGAAGCATTTTTTTTAATGCATAGCATAAGTTGAATGTATACCCATGATGTATTCATCCTGTGTCCAAGACATTTAAAAATGCATTGATGTCACCTTTGTTAGATTTGAATGAAGGTTTCAAAACTGCCACAATAAAACATATTTAAGTCTGTCACGTATACCTGGGCCTGTGTTCCAAAACATGGAGTTTAGATGAACAAAGCTGAACTTTATCGACCTTCAGCTTACCTCTCACTGAGATATAGTATGTACTTCCAGTCTGCAGGTTGAGCCTGTGTAGAATGTACTTGTTTACATATCCAACACGGGTGTAAATGACAAGATCTTGTCCACCAGGGAAAGTACCTGAAGGTAGAAAACAGGAATGTCATACGTTTACCTGAGACAGTGATAATTGTCAAGGAATTAAAATTGAATACGTTATATGGTAGAGCAGCGTGGACAAATTGTTCAGTTCATTACCCACTGCAACTTCATAAAAGGCAATCCCAGCAGCATGAGCAGAGAAACCTTCCTCTTCGTCATCAACAAAAGTTGTCCAGCTAATTGCAACTTCTGTTTTGCTAACCTGTACATGAGAAATATATCAATATCAGCGTACTTGCCTAAATCGATGGCTCTACTGTAGTTTCAGCATTGACCTCACACTAACAACCAAGTTACTTTTTATGGTATCGAAACCAAAGGGAACATTATTTAACATGGTTCAGTTAACCTGAAATGTCCCGTCTATGAGATTCTCTATGTTCACTGTCCCCGGTGTAGGTGGAGTCAGATCGACAGTGATGCCGTCACTGCAGGCGTTCACTTCAGTCAGAGGTGATGTCCACTTCTCAAAACGAGTGTTTTGTCATCAGCATGGATGCACACACATAAAATCGCCTGCCGTGTTGTAAGTAGGACAGCTCTGCAAATTCCACGTTGATGAACTCGTTCACTTGAAAAAAAGGAAAAGATGAAGGCATGGATGAATGCGACATCTTTTATAAAAGCCAACACCCTACGTTTTTACGAAATATTGTTAAAACACTAACTCACCCGTGTGTCCACACTTGATGACATCCGGCATGCTACAGGGGTCAGTGACGGTCATCAGAGTCTCCCTCTTGTAGTGAGACGAGGGGTCTAACTGGTCAGCTACCACCACTGCCCAGGTGTAGTTCCTGTGGTGTAGAGTCGGCCACACAGCAGACAGGATGTTCTTGTAGGGAGTGTAGTCAGCATCATTCCAGTGACTATTCTGATCAAAGGTTATTCCTTGACCAACATTTTCGTTGTTTGTTCCTGTAATGAATCATAAATGTACCCCTGGCATGTTTCATCGACAGAACATTCAGTTCGCTAGCCTTAAAACGTACAATTAACGAGGGACTACACATTTTCCTGAAACTTATTGTAACCACGCACTTACCGATAACATCTAGGACAACTGCAGGCACGATATTTGGAGGGTTATATGCTGCACATTCTTTGACATCTGCTGACACCGTTGTATGTAAACCAACGTGGTTGTAGCCCCTGACTGATACTCTTCTGCACTTGGTAAAGCGAATCAGTTTTGGCAGGTTTAGAGTGAAACTTATCTGAAGACAGGAGAAGAAAGTGGTAGCCAACGCATATACCATTTTGTTCACTGATATCGGAAAGGCATCAAAGGTATACAGAATAGATAAATAGTCCATGAACAATTTTACCTTTGTCATCAGCCTCACTTTCAATAGCATCAGCATCCACTGTCTGCCAGTCTATCAACATTTTGTCGTTGTGACTGTCATCTGTAAGACCCCACTGGTATCGTCGTCCATGACGTCATAAGCTTCTTGTAGTACTTTTATATCAGGATCACGGAACCGAGCCATCTTCACCTGGATCTAAAACACCATACAATAAATACCATAATAACATAATACATTCAGATGGAAAGAAACGGAACGCTTGGAAAGAAATATGTAACTTGCCTGTGCTTGTCCACTGTCAGATTCCCCGATACGTCAGCGATATATTGCCTGGTGTTGGAGGATGTGCTATGACAGTCACGCCATCACTGTATATGGGTTTAGAACATGCATTCACTACACAGAACTTGACAGCAGCTCTGTAGGTTGTCCCTGGTTCTAGATGAAGACCGCTAGCCACCACCATATCCGATGTTCCAAGGCTCAAACTCGTTCAATGTCCCATAGGTCAACTATAAGAATAAAAGCTGAATGGCCAAATTGCAACTTTTCAGCAGTTCATTATGCATTTATAGAAACGACGACAACCCTAGTGCACTATTGTATATGAGATATACAGTGTACAGTAAACGTTTTGTGGCGTTTATCTTACAATACATCTCTTCTGTCATGTACAATGGTGAAATAATATCACACCAATGTAGAAGGAAGCACATTATGGATTAAACATGACCAGTACTTTACTGGATATAGTTTACCTAATTATTATACATTTCCAGCAGGGAAGTTAAAAAGTAAAATTGTTTAATGAACCACTCGGCCTGAGGACAATCGTGACTATGCTTATCTTTTTGTCATAGAGCAATCTTCACATACCAGTGCGAGGAACTTTCTTTTGCAAACTCCATTGTACATCAGGATAACTGAGCAGCCAGTTGCTTGTATCCCAGCGGGCCGCATATGATGAAGTAGATACTTGGTATGTGTTGTCTCGTGAACATCTCTGTTAAGACATTCATCAATACATTTAACCTCTCACATAGAAGACCACAAGTGTAGCGACTTTGCATCACACAAGCAATATGTTACTTATATGGCTAAGGATATTATTTCATGAGCGTGAGGGACACACAATTGTATTTTCAAACCGATCGAGGAATATATACAAACACTGACTCAAGTATCGTAAAATCGTGAGGATACACGTTATAAAATCTTCATGAGAGACACTGTTCGTCGGTGCGCTTCGCAAACAAAGTTTGATAAACACATTCTGACGGAGTAGGAATTGCAGAGTTTTCTTATGAATATGTAAAAGATTTGTTTTGTTTGTTGTCGAGATGTGTCGACTTCCATACTGAATGCCTTGTTGATCAGCTAACGCGGCGACATAGACTGTGACGGCGTTGTGACGTGCATGTTGCGAACCGTATGCACAAAATATCCAGGTAAACGGATAATATGTGCATGGCTATACCTTTGATCACATGCACAACAGCCTACTAATTCCAGTTCCGTAATATCTCACTCACCGTCTGGTTTACTGCACTTCGAGAGCACCATTCACTAAAATCAGATTTCGTCGAAACTCAATTAACTGACAACTAAGAACATAAATTGACTTTCTAGTGGATTTTAGTTCACATTGGTTCAGTTAGCCTAATAAGAATCCTGCGGTTTTATAATTTTTAAAGTGTATCAAAATAAACAACAGAACTTCTGAAACTAATATTTCTAATTATAAAATATTCTTTCGTTCAATCGTGTTTTGTGCTGAAAAGCCATGTCTTTTATCATTTCCCATAGAAACTGTCACACTTGCAGAATTATAGAATTACAAGTTAATTTTTTGTCGTGTCGGACAATTTGAAACTAGTCCTTATCATACGGTTAAGGTTAAAACATTTGAGTTGCAAAATCTGAAATCATATATTTGAGAATCATTATAATCATAAAGTATATGCAACATTTTAATGCAATTTTTCGTCATCCATAACAACTACAACAAATACCATAATCACTGCATCCTAGGCCATCTCTGACAATGACATCTGTGATGTCAACATTGGGCCTGATGATCGTCACCCCGTCACCGCCGCCATCGGTAGCAGCCACGACAGTCACAAAATACTTCTGAAATTAGACAGAGGCGCCACTTCATTGTACATATACAATCCTGTAAACAATAGAACAAACCATAGTTTGCAAGTGTTTCAATCAACATCTGTTTACCAACCGTTTTCCAATGCAGGCTCAAACCAGTGAAAGAATGTAAGGTTGCACTTCCAACATAGACATGCGCCTGGATATCTGTTGTAAATGGCTGAGACCCAATTCCAACCGTGTACGTAATGGCAGTTATTCCATTGTCAAATCCATACCATCTCGCTGTTAAAGTTCGGGTTGATATTTGGTAGTCTGTGTCATCAGTACGCTGAAAGTATACAGACATATTTATTTCTTCCATGGTCATCACACATACTACAGGGACAGTGTTTTTATCGAGTATATAAAACAAACATTAATAGGAGTCATAGGAGTATATTGTAGTACACGAGTTCATGAGGTAATGAATGATCTACAAACATGTAGATATAAATAAATAATGCAAACAGAAAATAATGGAAAGAAAACATTTGTTGTATAAATAGCAAAAGATTCAAAAGCAAAATGTATCCAGTTGAACATGACAAGAGTTGTACTTATGGGATATAAGAACTAAAATAATGATCTCAAAATATTCAAAGGCTATATCCCTTTCTTTACACGTCAGCATAACACTATCTTTACACCAGAAACTCACGAAACAATAACAGGCTGTATAAGCAATGAAGTGTCCTACTAATCACGACATTTATGACAATACGTCTCGAAGACTATAGTTACTGACTTAATACCTGATGACAGAAATATCCACTATCGACAAAAAGAAAGCTGAATTGTGTTTGAAATATGATTAACGTGATCGACTCATGCATATCATGTAAAATACAGATTATATTAATCACTAGCATAAAATTGTGTGAACCTGTTTTTTTCGTGATATGATATTCATATGAGTAATAACATTAAAGATACACATACCGGTATTGTGAACAAGGATTCTTCTCCAGCTGGAATAACGTCTTCTACTACACCACGTAACGGCGGCATGACGTCATGGACGTAGGGTTCAGACACTGCCACTGTAGACAGTCCTACTATGTTGGTGACTCTGACTGACACAAAGTAGGTGTGGCTGTGATGGAGGTCCCAGTGGAGGTCTGTGAGGGCGACAGCTGTACACGTGGGTGGCGACGTCAGTGTACAACCTCCTCCTGACTGCAGCGTCGTGAAGGGCATTATTGTCGACTTGCCGTCCTTAGTTCCTGACGAAAATCACGTGTGTGTAATGGCAGGTTCATAGGCATTTGAAATAAGATGAAGGATATTAGAGCGATAACGACTGCACATACCTACTGTAGCTTCATATTTTAGATACCCAATGTCTGCGAATGCTGTCTCTGGCCAACGTGCAATCAAATAGTTGTGTCTCAGCGTCACTGTCACTGATCCAGTAAATGCAGGGTATCGTGTATACACGGTGACAGGTCCAACAACCTTTAATGAAAACAGTTACATCTGATCATTTCGTTCATATACGTGTGTTTACGCAAAGAGTCATCAGTCCAAAGAAATTGATGCATATATTCTTCATAAACATACAACGTGATTCTCTTTTGTGCCCTTACTCTGACAGTTGAGATGCCAGCTTTGTTGATGGCCTTGATGGCGATGTAGAACTGTTGCCCCTCACTGAGACGGGGATGGTAGCCCTGATACTGAGGATGATGATGAGTGGACGTGTAGGGCAGGATATCTGGAGCTGCTTCACCAGAAGGATCTGACATCAGCCCCAGCTCGTAGTCATAGATACCACTCTCAGAGTCACTGCCAGTCCAGTTTACGAAGAGCTGGGAAACAATCAAACACTTTACTGAAAGCAGTGCACAGTTTATAAATAGACGACACATGATCAAAACTGAACTGACATACGGATAAAAACGTTGTTACTTGACACAGATAATCAAATACTGATATGATAAGCTGGAGAAAACATTCGTAAGTTTCACAAATAATGAGTAATAAAATATACACAAGGGGTGTGCATGTTGGTACTCACGAGGTGTTCCCTGTAGACATAGAGTAAG